GTGCCCCTTTTCAGCAAAATGGAGGGAGGCCTGGAAGGAACCACTAATTATAACTGAATTTCAATTTAAAAAATTGACAGCTTATACACTGCAAGAAATGCTTAAGGCTATGAGAATGGCTTTATATCGCACTGTGCAGAATTTATATCGCAACTTTTTAAAAAAAACAGAATGCATTGGTCGATTGTTAGTAGGCACAAACAGGATGAGTGTGAGTAATTATATCAGGAATCTTGTGATAATTGGCATTCAGACCCCAGCTGCTAGAGTCATGTGAAATTAAAAATATATTTTTTTAAACAAGTACATTTCTAGCTCTTACAGAGAAAAGCATGAAAATGTGACCTCATGTATCTTAAATACTCAAAAACCTGACCTCAGACCTTACTTCCTCCTGTGCTGCAGTCCAGTTCCTCCCCTGGTTACGGTCAGTCACTGGTTGTGATACTTCCTCCCAGATGATGCCAGTGTCTTCAATATCTTCTGGCACTGTCTTCTGCTAGTTCTCCCCTGACCTTTCTCTTTCCTCCCTCAGGCACCCAATTCAAGGCTGGCTTAGCATGTCTCCCATCTTCTATGTGGGGTACGTGTCCCAACGTCCTGAGCCGACTTTCTTTGATGATATTTTCTAACACGTCTGGCTCTGGCAGCTCCCTGACTTCCCTTTGTTGTTTTGTCTTTCCAGGAAATACGTAGCGTCTTCCTCAGCCATCTGTGATGGGCCACCTCCAGTCACTTCTTGTTAGCGCCTGCCCTGGCCAGTAGCATGCTCAGCACAGTCACATGGTATAATCTGACCTTTAGTTTGGAGTGGACACCTCTGCTTGGCCAGGTGGCGTTCATCCTTCCAAAAGAGAAGTTTGCTTTTCCTGATCTCTGATGCATATCTTTATCCCAAATGTCATCGCACTCTACAGAGAGAGGGACTTGGACCTGTTGGATTTCATTTCCATCCACTCTGTCAGGAATCAGGGCCTGCAGCAGAGCTAGTCTCTGGGCAACCTAACACACCCAGCTATCCTGTAGTAGGCAGCTGGATTTGGTCCCCCACCCGATTGGTGGGAGGGTCAGCATACCAGCTCTTGAGCCAAGCAGCAGCAGTTCGGCTGTGTTAGCCTGCTGGTTCCCAGCCTTGCCCCTTTCTTGCTGCACTTTAGGTAACCTGGCTCTGACCGTTGGCTCTGATTCCTGACCTGTCTCCAGTTCTGACCCTCTGCTCTGATTCTTGACTTTTGAGTCTGACTCTGACACTGGATTCCTATTCCTCGCTTCCGACTCCTACGCTAATCATAGATTCCAGAGGAGACCCCAGTGATCATCTAGTCTGACCTCCTGTATAACACAGGTCAGAGAACTGCCCCAAAACAATTCCTAGAGCAGATCTGGGAACCACTAGGCCTGACCACCCACAACCCTGTCTCTGACACATGTTAACCTTTGCATCTGTTCTCCAGTTTCCTGCCTTCATAATCTGGGTTTTCTCTACATTTACTTTCAGTCCAATTTTTGCTCCTGTTCTCCCTCTGATGGAAGGGCAGTCGTTCTGTTCAACGTCATGCTTTGTAAAGCAGTGTCATTGGCAAAGTCTACTCATCTATGCTAACTGATTTTACCCCTTCAGCGATGCCTGTTGTTGTCTGCTTCATCACCCAGACCGTCGATAGTACAAGGCAAATTGATAAGACACCCTTGTCTAAGTCAAGTCACAATATCGAAACACTCACCCAGGACTGTATCTGATCCTACTGCATATTTGCTTCCATCCTCTAAACTCCTTATTATGTTGATAGCTTGTCTGGTATCCCCTAGCTTCTAGCAATATTTCACGGGTCTCTCTATGGACACTGTCAAACTCTTTCTTAAAGTCAGTGAAGTTAATTAAGATGCCTTTTGCCAAGCAATAGCTTTTTCAGTGATCTGTTGAAGAGCGAATATCTGTTCACAACATGATCTACCTGGACAGAACCCAGCTTGCTCTTGTAGTATGGCATCCACTGTAGTCTTCATTCTGTTCAGCTGATGGTAGCCGATACTTTGCCTGGAATTGATAGCCTTACAGTACCTCCCCTGTTCATGCACTAAGATCCCCCCCTTTTTTGGCAGTGCCACCATGATACCATCTTTCCAGTCTGGTGGCACTTGTTCTTTCACCCATGTTTGGTTACTTTTGTTAGCTGCTCAGTCAGAATATTGCCTCCTGCCTTCAGTACCTCTGCTTGAATTCTGTCAGTCCCGGGAACTTATACCTGTTTGAGGACTTGGATAGCTGCTACAAGTTCATTGGGTGTTACTGGTCCTGCCTCTATTTGTGCATAATCATCAGCTCTGAACAGTTTAATGTTCTTTCCATTGTCTGGCTTTTTCTTCAGATGTTTTCAGCATCTGTCCATGAGAGTCCCTGAAGGGCATCACAAGGGATGGTCTGGTGCTTCCTGAGAGGTTTTTCACTGTTCTGTAGAGCTGCTTGAAAGTCTCCCTTCTGTGCTTCTGCAGCCTCCTGAACCCAAACATTTCTCTCTTGCCTGCATCTCTCCTTTATTTCTTTATCCCTGTCTCTGTCTTTTGCATCCACCTCCAAGAGTTCTGCCTGTCTTGCACTGTTCCTTTTTTGCCTTCAGAGCCTTGTCAATCACTGTTCATGTTCCAGATGTAATCCACGCGTCTTCCTTCTGCCTCCTTCAGTGGCCCATTACTTCCTCTGCTGTCTCAGCTACCATCTTCTGTCAGTTTGACCATCTGTCTTCCAGGTTTTCATCAGCCTGATCCTGTAAAACACCGGAATGGTTGCTAAATGCAATCTGATCTGTGTTTCTTTGTCCTTGAACTTCTCGCTTGCTGTAACACTCCTGTTGCCTATCTTTGTGATCTTTTTGAGCATACATTGTAACATGGCAACTAAAAGATAATGATCTGAGCAAACATCTGCTCTTCTGCTGATTCTGATATCTTTCAAAGAAGATGCCCATCTGTTAGTTATACACTCATGGTCTATCTGATTGACTGTCACATTGTCTGGTGGTCTCCTGTGAGCCTGGGAGTACTATTGTGCTGGAAAAGACAGCCTCCTCTTAAGGGGTTTGTGCCACAGAGATTCAAGAGCCATTTGCCATTATCTTGGATGTCTTCTGCTACTGTGCCCATGACTTCTTCCCAGCCAGTAGAGTTGTTGCCACTTTGTGCTTGGAAGTCTTGCCTGTCATCAGCTTGATGTTGTGGTTAGGCATGACATCCAGGACTGCTGCACCTGCTTGTAGACTGTATCCTTTTCACTGTTGCTTGCTGTGCATTTGTTGGTGCATATCCTTGGATTAATGTTCCCTTGACATGTCTTGTTTCAATCTGGTTGTTAGTCTGTCTTTCACTGGCTCCCAAGCCAGCAGGATTTTCACTGTGATGTGGTCCAGCATAATTCCTACACTTCTTTTCTGTGTTCCTCCTCCTGAGTTGACGGTTGTTAGCGCCTTCAGATACCATCTTCCCACTCCCTGCCCATCTCGTCCCACTATTACACCAAGTATCATCAGGTGGTATTTTTTCATTTCTCATGTAACCTGTGCCAGCTTTCCCGCACCATACGAAGTATGTACATTCCACCTGCCTAGACTTGTTACAGCTTTGGTCATTAGGATTCCATGTCTCAAGATCTCAGGTTCCTTTTGGCTTTCACTGAGCTCTGTCAGATTTGGGTTTTGAGTGTCCTCTGCACCCACTGTCCTCAGGTTTTGATTTAACTGTTTCTGTTGCAGTAAAGTTTTAGCTGAGGGGGTTGCAAACCTAACTGCAGAACCCTCCTCTTCTGTCCAGGCCTGGGACCAGCACTCTGGCTAACAGTGGCAAAGTTTTCAAAAGGAAAAACAGCAACAACAAAAAGAATCCCCACATCTATGGCTTAAAAAAATATGAGATTTTGTTACAGTCTCATGATTCTTGAAAATTTGGGGTTGGAGACTCTCTGCTAAGGGCACTTACGGGGGGGGTACCAGCACACAGGGACAGAGCCCATGGGTCTGATTCCAAGGCAGTGAGCCTTCCTCGGTTTGCAGGTTGCAATGCCCTCCTCTGTGCTGTAACAGCTGATCTAGGATAAGTCAGAAGATTGGGTTATCCATGGTTATAACACAGTGATTCCTTTGCTTGGATTGGATTCTCAAATATCTTTCCAGCTAGCAAAAGGTTCTCTGCTCCTTCCTGGCCCTGTTGCGCCCTTGGTTTCTTGCTCCTGTTTTCCACATCCTTTGTTTAAAGAAGGCTCTCCAGGTTGAACCTCTGGCCGGGGAGGTAGTCACCAAAGTCCTAGTGTTTGAATACAGACATGGAGCACAGCTGAAAGGGGAAACTGATCCTGCAGCTGTCTTCTATGGAGCAAAAGCCAGCACAGTTTCACCAGTGGTGTCTCTGCAGCTGTGGCAATAGGGCATGCTCGTCCATTCGGGCTCACAGGTATCAGAGCAAAGTGGTTTAAAGTTAGACCATAAACAACAGTGATTTACTGTATTATTTGGTTACGACGGTGAATTTAGGAACCAGAGGGCCTTTTCCATCAAACTCTCATTTATGGGCATGAAACCACTTGCCAGTTTCTTCTTTGCTTCCACTTTTTTAGGTCCTTTTGTCTCTTTTCTATTCTTATTTGCTGGATATTGGCTGTCTGTGAGCTCCATCCTCCCCTAGGTCCAGCTGGAACTGGAAGTCGGACCTGGGCGAGACCAGTTTCCTGTTAAATAAAATCATGCCAGCCCTCTTCAAAAGCATTCGAGAGGCCACGCTCTTCCCTTTTGCTGGGCTCCTCATGCTCTGTTCTGTTATACCAGAGGTGCTGAGCTCTGGGGCTGGCACTCCGGTGGGGCTCTCCTGCATGAATTGGGCGTGCTACAGTTGTAAAGCAAAGCACTTGAAGTGTTGAGATGGTTTATAAATCCCGAAGCCTTATAAACTTCCGCGCCCCTTTGCTTTGGCTTCTGGGAACCATGCAACAATGACACTCTGTTTTCCCTTTCTAGCTGCCGGAGCAGTAACAGGAAAAGCCTGGTGGTGGGAACGCCGTCTCCAACCCTCTCACGGCCTCTCTCCCCGCTCTCTGTGCCGACAGGTAGGGAAGGTCTGAGCTCTGGGGAGCAGGCTATGCACCTGCCGTGGTTTTATCCTGGTTACTTTGGAGGGGCAGTGCGTGGCCCTAAGGTATCTTGAAGGCAGCTTGCTGACACCTTCAGTCCCTTGCAGGATCCTTTGTTGGAAGGACTGGAGGGGCAACACCAGGTTGCCCCTGTGGGTTTTGTTTTTTTTTTATTCAGATTATTATGAAATCCCTTCTCAGTGGTGTATGTGCTGTGTGAAGATGCTGTGGGCCAGAAGTGTTGATTTCTCTATTTTAGCAGTAAGCCGAGCGTCAGCCCCTTGGGACGGGCCTGTGTGTTAGACTTGGGGTTTGCAGAGCGGCAGCTGCACAAGACATGGGTTAATAAATAAAGATTGGAGTGGGGGAGGCCATGTTTTAACTTTGTCCTCGTAGCAATTGCGGTTGTCGTGACAGTGACGGGGACAGTTATCTCCCCACAGGATGTCTCCTGTCTTCACGGAATGGGTTTATTTTCCAATAGGAATATAACAAATCTTTACAGCACAATTTACTTTGTGACTCTTTAACCTTAAGTAACCTCTGCTGTCAGAGGTGAGATCCCAGACAACAAGCCAATGGGCTGGATCAGAAGTTGCATTAATTTCTCTCTCTCTCTCTCTCTGTCTGCAGCTGGGAGCAGCCCCTTGGATAGCCCACGAAACTTCTCCACTAGCACGTCTGTCAACTTTCCCTTTGCTCGCAGGTAAACCGGGGCTTGCTTTCTCCTTCCCTCTCCTACCCCCAACAGAGAAAGTAAATACCAGCAGACAGGGCTGGACTGAGAGAGAAGTGAAAGAATCCACTCTCATTTACAGTATTGTTTTCATGGCAAAAGGTGGCGCAGTGGGTAACTGCTGGCTGCTGCCTTTCACCTCCAGAGAGCAGTGCACGTGCTCATGGGTGAGAATGTGCTTGGGGATTTCATCATGTTCTTTAATTAATCCATGTCACATTTCAGTGTGATTATCAGTCTCTGTTCAAGAGTTATCCATGGCTGGAGAAAAAGGGCCAGGGGGATTTGCAGGGCCTAGACTGAGAAGGTCCAATGGCAGAGTCACTGCGCAAACCCTGCCTGCTTTGCACCTGACTCAAGCCAGAACTAACATAACAGAGGAAAACTCACTTTGGGTTGTGGGTGGGTGTTTAGAGACAGCCCCAGCTGGGTAGGAAGAGGAGGCCCTCTTTCCTGAGTCCCTTCATAAATTAGAGCACAGCCCAAAAGGGCTTCAGAGCACTTCGTTAGCTGAAGCATTTGTCCCCAGAGTTCTGCTATGTGCAGATTTTCCCCCTTAGCTGTTTGGAGACTGGGCGAGCTGTGATGCCTGCTAGAGCTGTCAGTGTTCCCACGGACAGAGAGAATACGGTAACCCGTGAGCCTAGGAAATGACAGCAAGCCTGGGAGTGTTGTTCTCGGTTACCGTCTTGTTCTTTTTTTCCTTCTTTCTGTTTGTCTCTTTCCTCTGCCACTGTGTCTCGCTCCCTCTTCCTGGCTGATAATCTCCCACCACCCTGCAGTCATGCTCCTCGGACTGACAGGTAATTACGAGAAGGAACCAAGCCTTTCCAGAGAGAGGTGCGGAATGGAGGGGGCCTGTGTTCAGTGGGTAATGCCTGCTCCACTTTGACATGTCTCTTGTCGCTGTGTGTTCCTTCCTCGCTTGTCCTGAGCGTAACCCCCATTGTGGCAGTGCCGGATTTAATCAGTCTGTGACTGGCCTCCATAATTCTCTGCGGCTCCAGGCACAGACACGGCTCTGTTCCCCTCATGCTGCAGTTGGCCAGGAGTTCAGGCCCAAATTCTGCCCCACTTTCACACTTCTCACCAGATTATAAACAGTGTCCTGGATTCTAAACAGCTGCTCCTCTGAAATCTACAACTAGGTCACCAGGAAAAATCGCCAATGCGTGTGCAGGGTGGAGATGGGAACAGTGCTCTCCAGGCCCTGCTGGGTTGATGCCGTTAGCCTCCCTGGTGTACGCAGGCAGAAATGAACAGGAGGTCAGGTTTAATTTCAAGGATCATTAGGGAAAACGGGGAGTGTTAACTCCTTGTTTGCCAAATGGGAAAGAGCTAGGATGGAGCAAGTGACACTTTATTCTCAAGCTGCTAATGATGGGAAAACAGAAAAATGATAATGCAAGCAACTTACGAGGTTGAGCCAGCTCCTGATGCGAGAGTCCTTGGCACTGCTAAAGGCCTTACTGTGGGGGCTTAGCCAATTCTCGTAACTTATCCCGGCGAGCTGCTGGGATAAAGCGGGAATTTTCTGTAATATTTTCATGAATCCTATGTGTGCCTCAGTTTCCCTATGTACTTTGCATTGCTACCCTGTGAAGGGAAAAGGGTCAAGTCTCCTCTTGGGGACAGCGCAGGACACAAGGTCCCCTTGCTGACTGGGCTGTAGTGAATAGGCTCCTTAAGAAACTGGTTGAAACTGACCCAGATCAACAGAGGGTCCAGCAGGACAATGGAAGCCCCAAGGACTGAACAAAGCTCTGGGACGGGGTGGGGGTGAACACAGCATGGCCCTGCCTGGAGACAAAGGACTGGGAGGTGACCAGCAAGGGATAAAGAAAAGGCTTCTGGAAGAAGCTGGCTGCTCTCACCTGGGACTGGCTAAGGAATCTGAGAGAGACAGAGCCTGCGATGGAATTCAGTGCAGTTTGGCTGGTGGATTGCTCTGGCTTGGCTGGAATGAACTATTTTCACCTTCGTTTCTCTGTGCTAATCTAAGGACTCCCAATGCTGCATTCCAGTTGACTAATTAACCCTACTCTGTTTGAAAAACACTGCTTGGTGTCCTGCACATCCTGGCTGCAGTGCCGCACCCCCTGGGGCATGTACAAGTCTGGAAGCAGGAGTCTCTCAGTTGGACTCCCTGAGCAGAAGTCACAGCACGAAGCAGGCTGGCTGAAGCCCAGAGGCTCAGTCTCGAAGGCAGTGGGGCTGCATGGCCTTTCCTGAAGGAACAGTGAGAGCCCTTGGGGGTCTGCATTATGAAGGGTTCTCCAAGAGACTGGTTAAAACAGGGGTGGGCCAAGTTTTTCGCCCAAGGGCCACATCTGGGTATGGAAATTGTATGGTGGGCCATGAATGCTCACAAAATTGGGGGTTGGGGTGTGGGAGGGGGTGAGGGCTCCAGCCGGGGGGGTGCGGGCTCTGTGGTAGGTTCAGAAATGAGTTCAGTGTGCGGGAGGGGGCTCCAGGGCTGGGCAGGCAGTTGGGAGGGCGCAATGTTCCCTCTAATTTTTGACAGGCTGTGTGCGCAAAAAATGTGTTCTGTGCAAATTGTTGTGCTTCTGTGCAAATTTTTGTGAGCGTGGTGTTTCGCCGTGTGTGCGGGGTTTAGGATTTGTGCACGCGCGCACAGCTTAGAGGGAACAGTGGGGTGGGGCTCTGGGGTGCGGCTGGGATCAAGGGGTTCGGAGGGCAGGAGAGGGATATGGGCTCGTGCAGGGACTTGGGGCATGGGAGGCGGTCGGGGTGCAGGCTTCAGGTGGCACTTACCTCAGCAGCTCCCAGAAGCAGTGGCATGTCCCCTCTCCAGCTCCTATGTGGACGTACAGCCAGGCAGCTCTGCACGCTGCCCCGTGCACAGATGCCGCCCCTGCAGCTCCCATTAGCCATGGTTCCCAGCCAGTGGGAACTGTGGGTGCAGCACTTGGGGTGGGGGCAGCGTGCCGAGCCTCTTGGCTGCCCGTATGTGTAGGAGCCGGAGAGGGGTCATGCTGTTGTTCCGGGAGCCACACGGAGCCACGGTATGCAAGGAGCGGGGCAAGCCCCCGACTCTGCTCCTTGCCTGAAGTGCCGGAGCGGAGCAAGCCCCGGATCCTGCTCCCCAGCGGGAGCTCGAGGGCCAGATTAAAATGTCTGAAGGGCCGGATGTGGCCCCTGGGCTGTAGTTTGCCCACTCCTGGTTTAAAAGCTGGGGCATAGCACCGGTCCTGTGGATCCATGACAGCTGGGTTAGGCAGATGGGGAAGCTGAGGCCAGACAGGTGAAGTGACCTACACAGTGAGTCAGTAACATAGGGATGTAGAGCCCTGGGCTGGGCTCCTAGGCCCTTAGACTACTAGAAAACACTTCCAGCAAAAATATCCTTCTAGGTTTTAAGTTTCTGGCATCTTGTTTATTGCAGGGGTGGGGTGGGGGCATGTCCATTGTGCGTGTTCACTTTCATACGCTCGAAGGAATCATGCTGTTCTGTAGAATAAAACCCCGGGGCCCAAATTTGACTCTCATTAAAAATCCCACCCTAATGGTTTTCCCCTTCCCTAAGTGGATTCGTTCGAGCGCAGCTTGGAAAGAAGCCAGGATAGAGCTGTCACATGGCTGCAGCCACTTCCGAGTTGTCACCCCGCTCACTGACTGAGAACAGCACCAGTTCATAGGGACACGTGCACCAGTTTGACCCTCTGCTGCAGCAGGGGACAGAGCCTAGTTTCTAAGATTCTAGCATTACATTCCTCTCAGCCATAAAATTAATTGTACAAAGTCGTTATTACTTACATGAAGTGATATCAAAATACATTTGGCATAAGAGGCTTTGGATTGCAGCTGTCTGGGCCAGAGCGAGGTGCCTGTTCCTGCCCACAGCACTTCGACATTCATTGTTCCTTTGTCTGCATTTAAACAAAGTTTTCTCTGTGTGATCCCTGTGTTTCCTGTTGCAGGGCTGATGGCAGAAGGTGGTCACTGGCTTCACTACCCTCGTCTGGCTATGGGACTAACACCCCCAGTTCCACTGTCTCGGTAAAGCTATCCAGCCGTCTGTAACAGGAGAGGGAAATCTGAAATAGTGGCCTGCCCGGTGTGCCTGCCTCAGTTTCCCTTTCAGTTCTCAGAAATAATCTAAACGCTCCTTGAGTATAAATACAGCCCTTGGAGGATTAATTTAATATGAACAAAAGCCCTTTGTGCACAAACTGTAACAACACAAGTCCCCACAGTCCATCCATGAGAAACCTCGGCGTCTCTCACCACGCTTTCCTCTCTGGTATGGTGCTAGTGTCCCGCAGCCTCTCTAAGGTCCTCTGGCTTCAGCTCTGTAGCCCAGAGAACCAGCAGGCATCTGAGCCTGCAGCCCTCTCCTGCTTTCTTTGGCATGGGAAGATCAGCAGCCTAGCCCCATCTGGTCTTCTCAGCTTCCCGGCTCTGGTTCTCTGGCACCGGAAGGTGAGCTGGGTGGCCCCCTCCACTGGCTTCCTGACCGTTCCTCCCTCTTTCGCGGGAGGGCCTCATGAGCCCGGAGACCTTCTCCAGTCTCCTGGTCCTTGTTGCCTTCACCTGACTCACCCAGTCTGTCTCCTCAGGCCCAGGTGCCTCTTTTAAACCTAATTGGGAATCAGAGGCTCTGGACTTGCCTCCCTCCGAAGGGGCCAGTGCCACCATGTCCCATGGGGTTTAAATTTCCCCTGAGCTCCATAGTTTCCCTTCCTCAACATCGCATTCTCTGGGGCTTCTCTGCATGGCCAGATGTTTTGTTCAGATGTTATTTTTACAGTGTGCATCTGAGTTAGCTGCAACACTTTGTAGATGGCGGGTTCTTTTGTCGCAAATTAATACTGGGGGCTGCATGTCTGGGTTGGGGTGTACTGTGGAGCTGGTTGGGGAGCCCAGGGCTGTAACAGAAGAGGATGCTGCAGACTGGGACTGAGGAGCAGCTACAGAGTTGTTCTGTAGGGAGCTAGAACAGCAGAGGAGTTGCAGGTCAGAGTTTTCTGGGGCAGCTGGCGGTGCCTGATCTCATGGTGTTTGGGGGCTAATGCAATGCATTTTTCACACTTATGTGCAGCGGATTTGGGAGTGTTTGTAAAAAGCAAGGCCCCCAGGTTGCCTGTCAGGATTTCCAATCTATTAAAGGAGTGTGAGGCAGCTGTTTCTAATGAACTGTTTCCATCCTGCTCCAATGGAGGAATTTAGCTGTCTCCTAACTGCTTGCATTTGTTGTTCTATCCAGTCGTCTTCATCCTCTCAGGAGCGTCTGCACCAGTTACCATACCAGCCCACCCTTGATGAGCTGCATTTCCTCTCTAAACATTTCCGCAGCACAGAGAGCGTCACGGACGAGGAGGGGCGCCGTTCACCCTGCCTGCGGCCACGATCCAGGAGCCTAAGGTATCCAAAGCCTCTGGCTGCCCCTGGGCTTTCCACAGTGTGTGTGTGCGTACATGTATGTGTGCACACGTGCATGAAGTTGTGTGTCTGATGCATGTAAAAGATGCTGGTGAAGGAGGCATTTCATTGTCATAGGCATTGCCAGACTGGAGCAGGCCCATCTAGCCTGGGATCCTCTGTCTGACGCAGGCTGGCTTGCCGCTTCAGCGGAAGGTGCGGGAAGCCCCCTAGTGGACAGTTATGGACTAGCCCCGTCACAGTTTGGCTGTACCAATAATGCTGACCACCAGTCTGATTCTCTGCTCTCCGTGAGAGTCTGGGGGTGTGAAACTTGGTATTTCTTGTGCTTTACTACACAGACCGTGTTCTACAGAAATGCCACTGCTTTCCCTGCAGCACTTCCACGAATGGAAAATGGCGGGAGTTTAATTCCAAAGCACAGTGCAATAAATCTCATGCTAATCCTGTCGGCACTCCCTGCCTCTCGGGGGGCTCTCCTCTGGACTTGGAGTACAAGCCATACACAAGTCTGCTAGCATGAGGCTTTTGTTGCTGGAAACTGTTTACGCCTGAAATGCAGGCTCTTGAGGCTGAGATTACAGAAGCTTTGTTTGAAGCGCCTTGTTATGTTGTTTGTTTTTGTGTCCTTCAGTTGGGACTCATGCCTTCACGCTGATCCTTGGGTGGGTCACAGCAGATTGAGAGGTAAATTCTCAACTGATCCTCAGATCAGATCAGGGCATACCTGATAGTCTGTCGTTGCAGACCCTGCTGCAGGTTGGGATCTAAGTCAAGAGGCCAGGAATCAGACTTACCCTTGAAAGATTTAAAAAAATCTGTTTATGTAACTGGATCTAGAAGCATTATGCATATTAAATAAAAGCTAGGTGCTCTGAGTACATCTGTTTGCAATGCCTTTTTTCTTCCCTCACCCCTGTTCTCCCCAACCATTGCTTTTTCAGACCCAGGGCCGCAAGCAGGTGTACAGCATTCTCAGAGATTTCAGACATGCAGTGTATTTGTGTGTAGCTGCATCTGTCTGTTCCCTTCTTGTACATAGGCACATTGCATGAAATTCACAAGAAAGGTCCAGCATGGGAGTGGAGCAGAGAAGTACAAGCAAGAGTGCCTGGCAACTCCTCCTCAACTTCTGCAACTGACAATAGACTAAACATGCAGACCTCCTGAATTTGACAGTGCCCCTTCATAAACTCGCTGTGCATTGGAATGTCGAGTTTCCATTCATTGGTTTGTTCTCCAGTTGTCAAATGCAGCAAGTGTGCATCCTTACAGGGAATATTTCAGTTAAATACTTTTTCCTGTTGTGGAATGTGTTTAGAGGCCTCATTAGTAGGGCGAGAGCTGTAATTGGTCCTGGGCTTTGTTGCCTGAAATTTCATTAAAATTAGATTAATTATCTCAAGGGCTTTACAAGTGGATGAATGTTTTACCAAAGAAATGCTAGTTATATGACTGCCATCACTTGTACTTAGAAAATACAAAGAGTCCCTCGCTAAGCTGTGGCTTACTTCTTAGTTACTGAAATGAGAATGGGGGGAGAGTTGAAACTGGTCTTGATCTTGGCATTTGTTATATCTTGGTTAACGAGTAGATGCTGCTCCCTGTATCTGGCTTTGTGTAACAGGATTAAGATTCCAGTGGTGGCGCTGTGGCCAGGGGAGAAAGAAGGGTCCGCTGAATTCACTGGTGGGCTAAAAAAGATAAACAATTCATGTGAAGATCCCTCTGTGCCCTGCAAAGAACAAAAATCAGTTGTTTTGCTGCCAGTAGTGAAAAGACAACTATATCAGCAGATCGAGAGGCCCTGGGTGTCAGGCATGCTGGCCTGCTCACAGTTGGCTGTGGTCTAGGCATCTCGCCAGTGGCATTATAGTTTGCTGTCTGTAATACTGGCATTAGGGTGGGGACTGGGACAGAAATTATAACCCTGAGGGAAAGAAAAAGGACAAGCCCTTTCTTTAATGGACACATTAGTCTCTCAGCTCTGGAGATCTAGATTCAAAACTACCTTGGTTTATAAATGCCATGAGTCTGGAGGTCGGAGTAGCTTATTGCAGACAATTATTCAGCCCAGACAGCTGCCAGGCAGTCTCTTCCATCGACCAGTCTCTCCTCCCGGAGACTAACAGCTAGGGGTGCAGATTGGGAATGTGGTGGGGGATGTTCTGTGAGTCAGGAATGATGAGCAGTTCCAGAGGGGATGCTTCAGGGCAGCAGTGAGTTGTGTTGCTGTTGGTGGGAGGGTAGGGTGGTGGGGGAGCTGCAGGCAGCCATTGAGGTGCATTGGGGAGCTGTATTTGGGGGTGGAGGTGCCCTGGGAGAGTCACTAACTGTCAGGATGCTGAGTGCTTGGTGTGAATGTGCTTTAATGGCTTGTGAAACGTAGCAGTTGAATAGAAAACAAAGTGTGATGAGTCTCCAAAGGCACTTAAGACTGCACAAACCCATAATTACTTGGTTTTCTGAAGATAAACCTGTTTTTTTTCCCCCCAGCCCTGGACGAACAAGTGGAGCTTTTGATAATGAGATTGTTATGATGAATCACGTCTACAAGGAACGATTCCCGAAGGTAACTGCCCAGAGCTCAGAAAGATTATTCAAACATAATGTATCTTCAGCTTTTCAGCAATTTTGTCTCCAGCAAAATCATTTCTGTTCTTTATCCTGGGACAAAAGGTGTACCTTACAGGGGAGGTGTGTGAGGGGGCTGGAAACCTGATAATTCACTGGGGGAAGAGCTGAAGATTCATAATGTCCTCTCCTGGTCACTGTGGAGCATGTGTTACTGCAGCAACATAAAACTCTCATTAACAGTCTCTGGAGACCACTTCTTGGTTAAAACAATGTCCATGTAAGCACGTGAATATTGTGCTGAGATTTTCAAATGAAACAATATCAGTGCAGTTACAGCACAGTCTAAAATAGTGAGACATAATATCACAAAAGCAGGGAAATTCTCGTTCCGGCTGTTTGTACAGCTGCAATGGTCCTAGGGTGCCATGACACAGCTCAAAGTCGCATACATAAGAGGAACATTCTTTCCAGCACATCTCTAATGTGAGGATCAGTACAATTATTTTGTATGCCGCTGGCATGCTGCAGTCATAAAAGACAGCCCAGTGCGTGCCAGGCTCCGGTTCTGTGCGAGCTGGGATCCAGGCTTATGTGCTGCATTGCTGGGCACAGCAGCTCATAGCTTCTGGCAGCAGGTTTTTCCATTTTGTCAGCTGGCAATTTCCTGGCTGCGGGCCTGCCAGGGGAGATAATAAACAAAGTGACAAGCCCCTTTGTTTTCATCCTTCCTGTGGTTTCACATGCTTCTACTTAAAGGTTTATGGGGAGAAAGAGCTGGTAACTGCTGAGTGCCAGATCACTTGGAAATGACCAATCTCTAATGCACTGTCATACTGAAACGCCTGTCCTGTAGCTAGGAGTGTTTGGACCACAAGGGTCTACTCTGCAATCTTCTCAGAAGGATGTTCAGGAATATGTGTGTGTAAACCCCAGGGCCAGAGCATCAGCTGGTGGAAACTGCCATAGCTCCAAGTTCACTCCAGCTGAGGATGTAGCCCCTAGTGTAAACATGCTGCACTTGTGTAGGTCATGGCTTGCCCCAGGGCAGCGCACTTGCAGTAGGAGTTTGCACTGGGTCAGCTGTGCTGATGGCTAACACCCGGATGTAGGCTCAAGGTCTCAGTCCCACTGTAGTCATCTCCTGCTCTGCCCTGCAGGCCACAGCGCAGATGGAGGAGCGCCTGCAGGGGACCATCACCAGCTGCTCGTCGAGCAGTATGCTGCCCCTTGCTGATGGCGTGCTGGGGTTCATCCACCATCAGATCATTGAGCTGGCCCGAGACTGTCTGGCCAAGTCCCAACAAGCTCTCATCACTTCACGCTACTTCATGGAGCTGCAGGAGAAACTGGAGAAAATGCTCCACGATGTGAGTGTTTGGATGTTCTCGCAATCCCCCCCTCCTCCCAACCCTGGCCCCCCCACTGACAATGGCTGTTTGGTGACCTCAGCATTCGTCTCATTCTCTGCAGGCCCAGGAGCGTTCAGAGAGTGAGGAAGTGAGGTTCATTGACCAGCTGGTCAGGAAGCTGCTGCTAATAATATCCCGCCCTGCCCGCCTTCTGGAGTGCTTGGTAAGGAGTACTGCGTGGCCTGCCAGGCTGTCTGCACGTGCAGGTCTGTCATGGGTATACCTCATTTGGAGGCTCATTACTCATGGAGTAAATTGGAAAGAATCACTTCGCGCAGAACAGCTCGATCTACGTTCGTGCACCCAACAACTGAACAGCAGTGCAGCTCCTCTGTCGCGTACACAGTAACTGAGTAACCCTAACACAAGCTTCACTGTACTCGCTAACCCAGCCACTGGGCTTCAGACTCACTGTTAGGGAACTTGGTTAGGGACCAGAGAGAGACGACAAAGACAATCAGATCTTTAGATCCATGTGTTAAAGAATATTACAGTACAGGATGGGAATTACAGTGAGGTGGGAATGTCTAATCTGTTTTCCTTTTCTTGTCCATCTCTAGCTTTTATCCATTACACTTAATCTCCAACACACATTCTCCTTTGGTTATTAATCCACCTTGAAAACCTAAAGTTTTCAGTGGTGTATTTCCAAATCTCTCTCAGTAGGGCTAGTCCGAGAATTATTTACAGCCAGAAGGAATAGTAGGTATGCCAGCTCAGGCATACAGCCAGCTTGCCCCCTGAATTCTGGGACATGGGCACATGGCTGGATTTTTCAACCAGGGGGGATTACACTGGAAATGCAGACACAATCCCAAGATCAGGGGAGCTATGGTTCTCCTGCAGAATTCTGATGCCCACGTAGCATCCCGTAACTCCAGAGCTAAAGGGAACCCTATCATTACAATCTACGATAGTTACTCTAATTCCATTTAAGAATATGTACATGCCTGTGTACTGTGATGCCTGTGAGTTGTGGTGGGGGAGGTGCTTTTATTTAAAGACACAAAGGGAGAACTCACTTCTTGACTGCACTTATTCTCCTTTGGCTAGGAGTTTGATCCTGAGGAATTCTATCATCTTCTGGAAGCCGTGGAAGGACATGCTAAAGTAGGCCAAGGAATAAAAACTGATATCCCGCGGTACATCATCAGCCAGCTGGGGCTTGCCAAGGACCCTCTGGAGGGTAGGGATATTTTACAGCTCTTGGACTGTGTCTCGCTGAGTGATCAGGCAGGGAATCAGGAACAGGAGAAGGAGCCTCTTGCACATGGCTGCTGCCAGTTAGTCAGAGTTAGCATGTGTTGGAAGGTCTCTGCTACTCCCAGGCTAGGAGCTGCCCAAATCCGAAAAGTCACCACTGCAGTTAATGCTAGTGTCAGCTTTGCTGACATTCTCAGCCAACGGAGAAGGACTGAACAGGCTCTTCTAAGGGTGGTCCCTCCAGGGCAAAGGGGGGGGGGGTGGCATGGCAGCCTGGTGTGGAGAGATTTGTGCTGCCCCTGCCTGTGCTGAAAGTGCTCCACAGACAGACCGAGAGCTTGTCGCTCCAGCACACCTTGCTGCTGGGCAGAATGACAGAGATGGACCCTCACTGTGAAATGAAACCAAAGCAGATGCGGCAGGACTGTCAGAAATCACTATGCAGTCAGCAGGTCAGGTCTAGGTAGCTGTTGGTGTATCCTCTGGGAGGCCCTTTCCCCTCAACTCTGGTGAAGGTGCGTAAGGCAGTAACCCCCCTCTCAGTCCCGCAGTGCAGGTGACTACTGCAGGATGGGATTTGTGCTTTCTCCCCAATGGATCTTGCTCTTTGGTAAGTGTATAAACATTGCATCACCAAATGTTAATTGCCCAAGTGTTAAGGTTCCGATAGCATCGTTAACTCTGCCTCCTGTTCCTTACACATTGCATTGGAATAGATGCTTATGAGGCCAATCAGGAGATCTCTCAGACCAACAGGTAACTCTTTCTTCAGCAAGTTCTGTCTGATACTGATTGGAATTAGCCTTGAAGTTGTTGTTGTTGGAAATGTACCTCTCTAGATGCTGTGGTAGCAAGGGTTCAGATGGCATGATTGCCTTTGCAAGGATTAGCGCACAGTACTGAAGCAGTCTGTGCAGGGATAAACGTGCATCAGCTTCCAAACCCACCCATGCTCGGACTGTGGTAGTGGAGTGGGATGTGCATTCTAGGACTGTATCCAAGTCTCTCTATGCCAGAACCAAATTTTCCTTCATTATCGCTTGCTACATATTAAATATTACTTTCAAGAACACTTAATCCATGGGAAGCCAAGGCCTGTGGGGGAATCATAATCCTTGAAGAACACTGAAAGGATGGTGCAGAGTAGATAGAATTGTATAAATGTTTAACCCCTTGATGCCAGGACCCTGAATTTCCCAGCAATAATGGCTAAAACAAAAACATACAGACGTTGTGTGGGCTCCAGGCAGGCAGACATCAAAGAAACATCTGAACACAGAGCGCGGTATGGATGGTGACACTTTCTACTTTCAGCATTAGTTTTTGTTAGTGATGAAGGCCTCAAAGAGCCTGAAGCTTCCATTCTGACAGATATCTGTGAGTCAGGCTGCCCGCTGCCTGCCAGCGGGCTTCCTTGTGGTGTTTTGGTGCTCCCAGCCCTGGGAAGAACTGATCCTGGACTTGCAGAGGAATGGGTGAGAGACCAGAAGTTAGTCAAGCACTTGAGGATGGCAGAGGCTCGATGTGGGCAAAGTTTTGTATCTGTTCTTCTTTATCCAGACCAGTTTGCTGATCCCACATATATAGCAGCCCATCACATCCCCTTGAACAGTCAGAATATTGGCTGCAGAGGGATTGTGTGTGCAGCAAACCCAGACAATGTAGTGGGAGTAGGCCAGGAAAAGCATCTCTGCAGCTTCTGGTGAAGTTGGCACCCAGTGCAGGTTGCTCAGTGAACTTGTGCAAGGCATCTCGTGTGTAGACAGCACCTTCTGCCAGCCTGATACTAGCTGCGGCAGCAGGGTCAAGCCTATGTCTGGAAAAGGTGGTTAATTTTCTAACAAAAAACTTCCCCGGAAGGGAGCAGTGTGCAAATCTCAGTGGAGTTCCTTTAATCCAGGATAGACAGGTTTCAGTTCCTCCTCCCTCTGAAACAGCAGCAGCGTGTCTGTGTGGTCTGTTGAATTCCTGGCGGCTAGCTCTTTCCGTTTTTCTGCAGAAATGGTTCAGCTGGATCATTTTGATAGTGGGAACACCATGACCCCAGAGAATGACGTCTCCCATGAGGTAAGACCATCCAGCCTGAGTTAGTATTCGCATTTCCCAACCAGCTTCTCTGACACTTAGCAAATTAACTCTTGGCATGCCATATAAGGCAATGCCAGGAGGCTGTCTACATTCCCAGGGAGCTTGGAGTTTGAATTGTCCATCCATGGAGGATTGCTGAAACTGTGTGAATTTTTGAAGGTACATGTCTCATGGACACCTCTATTCCTGTACATGGACCCTCCAGTTGGCACCTGGACATGTGGAACGGGCATGTGCTTGAGGCAGTTTTGACTTGACAGTTCACAGTTTGCAAAGTGCAGTTGATTTCTGATGTGGTGGCTTCTAAGGATGCTGAGCAACAGCAGCCTCCTTTGAGTGTAGGTCTAGGTTTGCTTTTACTGGTCGGACTAGCCCCTTGTAGCAAGAAAGCGTCCCTTCGTGTGATGGGTACCATAGGGGTAGGGAAGGGTGGGCAGGAGTGTTTCCCAGGGCTAGTGAATTGTGGAGGGGAAGCATACGCAGTATTTACAGTCACAGCACTGGGATGTGAAGAAAGATCAAAACACCCTTTGTGTATGTCTCATGCAGAGCCGGGCCTCAGCTGCCACTTCTCGGAGGAAACCCTGTGAGAGTGACTTTGAGACCATCAAGCTGATCAGCAATGGGGCCTATGGGTAAGTTGGAGAGAGCCTCTGCTTCAGTGCAGGGCGCTCAGGAGCTTACAGGCTTGGGGCTGCGCTGAGCAATCCACTTATGACCGCAAACACTGGCTTCTTTTTGCAAACGATCTAAGTGTGAACTAATCATCTTAGTGTTGGGCCTGGCCTGAGCAAGACCAGCTCCCCTAGAAAGCAGGCACAATGGTGGCGAGTGCAGAGAGACACAGAGCAGGCCAGGTATCTCACTTACTATGTCAGTCTTGGCACTCCAACGCGACTCCATTGAGTGTGTCATTACAGCTATTGCACACAAATCCTCCTGGCGAGGAGCAGCTTGCCACGTCTGACAACAGCGCCTGCCTCACTGCTCGGGTTGTAAATAAGGCCAGTGTCCAGTAAGACAGATGCAGCTGGCAGCCTGCTTGGAAAGGCCCATTGTAATTGACCTACTTGTCAAATTCACCCTTTGCACATGGGGAGCACAGTGCTTGGCAGGTTAGAGGCTAACCTCCAGAAACCCCATGCCAGAGTCCTCAGTGAATGCTCGCTCTCACTGGGAACTACTCTAGGTGGCGGGAGATGCAGGGTTTTCTGTGCTTTACAAGTGTTTTGAAGCAACAAGACCAGCTCTTCTAGTCGATAAACTTGACAGCAGCTGCTGGAGCCCCATGCACTCAGTAATGAACCCTGCGGTGCCTGCAGCTTGGCGGGTGGTCTCATCGCTTTCTCCCCTCTTAGGGCCGTGTATCTGGTGAGGCACAGGGAGACCAGGCAGCGTTTTGCTATAAAAAAAATTAACAAGCAAAACCTCATTCTGCGGAACCAGATCCAGCAGGTGTTTGTGGAGAGGGACATCCTCACGTTTGCCGAGAACCCCTTTGTGGTCAGCATGTTTTGCTCCTTTGAAACCAAAAGGCACCTGTGCATGGTGATGGAATACGTGGAAGGTGAGAGCCAAGCTGGTCACCCAAGGGCTGAATGGTGACTTTACACTGTGGTTGTTAGAGCAGATTTTTAAACCTTAACCTGCCGTCTTAGGGTAGGAAAACAAAGATCCCCAACGTGAAGGTTGTGGCCTGAGAATGCTTTTAGCTCTCATGGCCATCAGGCCCCGCGGTGCTGAATGTCTGTGTGATGTCCTGTGCGAGCACGTCACGCTGCCCTCTGCTCCCCGTGCCTGTCCTGTTCCTGCAGGAATGGAAAATCCTTCCTTCCTTCGCAGAGCAGAGACTCAAAAACCATCTGCTGCCCGTTGAGAGAGGAGCTTGGTCTGTGCACACAACTTGGAGACAGGTGCTCCTTGTGTTTCCCTCTCTCTGCCTCCGTTTCCCTCTCTGTAAAATGAGGTGGTTAATACCTCCTCTCGGGGTGCAGCAAGGATTGTGTGTGTTAATGTCTCTGGTGTGTTCCCTCCGCCAACCTCTCCTGTTCATCTGCATCCAAACACGTAACAAACATGCATTCACCAGGTAACTGATGTCTTTGAGCTGCAACAGACCCTCCTTGCTGGAGTGCCCTCCGATATGTCTCAGTCTTAGACCTGCTGTTCTCAGCTTGTACCAATGCAACATCCCCAAAATTGGAGAGCCAAGTGCCACCTGAAGCAGCAGCAGGGCCTGGCAGATGGGTGGCCATCCAGGTTCAGAAAGAAACGCTTTTCTGCCATATGCAATTGGCCAGGTATAGCATTGGGTTGCGGCCACTCTGAGGCAGTATCCAGGACTTGAGAGCTCAGGGGTCTGATTTGATGTAGGGAGGCCTACATTCCTGTTAAGAAGAGGTTGCTTGAAATACTTCAGGATGCCCTCAGCCCAGTCCTGCATGCTGCACAGTTGCCTGTGGCTCATGGAGAGTTTGTATGTTTCTGTAGGTGGGGACTGTGCCACGCTACTGAAGAACATGGGTCCTCTGCCAGTCGACATGGCCCGGATGTACTTTGCAGAGACTGTTCTAGCTCTGGAATATCTTCACAACTACGGGATTGTGCACAGGGACCTGAAGCCTGACAAGTAAGGACAGAAAGGGGGCTCAGGGTTGGAGGAGCATGGACAAGAGGCTGTCAGATTCTAAAGCGGGGAAGGAAGGAGGGGTTTCCTTTGTGTCCCCTTTCCCCATTGAGAGTGGTGGGAGTTGCTTCTGGCTGAGTGATCCCAAGTCAAGACCATGGCATGAGCAGAAAGCAGCCAGCCTTTTCAATGTAATTCTCAGAGCGGGGCCCTGCTTCTGCTCTCTGCTTTGTACCAGGCTCTGCTAGGGAGTGAGCCAGTGAGATTACGCATACATCTTCTCTCCTGCAGTTTGTTAATCACTTCGATGGGCCACATCAAGCTAACAGACTTCGGCCTGTCAAAGATTGGGCTGATGAACATGACCACAAACTTGTATGAAGGGCACATTGAGAAGGACACTCGGGAGTTCATGGACAAGCAGGTACATTCAGGATCTTGGTAGGCTCAGATCCCACGCTGTAGTGGGTGGGGCCATTGGTTCAAACCATCTCTCTTGGTCCCTGGGGAGAGGGTGGGAATCCTGTATCCATCTCTCCCCATCTCAGGGAACCAGCATAGTTCTGGGCATGCTGCAGCAGTACCTGGGCTGCTATAGAGAGCAGAGTTTCCAGTATTACCAACCCCTCTTTGAATGCAGGTGTGCGGCACTCCCGAATACATTGCGCCAGAAGTGATCCTCATACAAGGCTACGGGAAGCCTGTCGACTGGTGGGCCATGGGCATCATCCTATATGAGTTCCTCGTGGGCTGCGTCCCCTTCTTCGGCGACACCCCAGAAGAGCTCTTTGGGCAGGTGATCAGCGGTAGGTCTCTAGCAATGGTCAATACCCTGAGTCCATCCTCTCGTCTTCGTTCCGGAGGCTTTCTGGGTCTGAGAGTTCCTAGCCCTTCTTTGTCTTGGGTTATATCAGCACCGGGTCTGGGGCGTTTGGGTATTCGGGTTAGTGCTTCTGGCACACTGAGACTCTGAACCATGCGGGCACCGCTTCCTATTATAGGCCGCAGAGCACAGCTCATCTGCGTATTAACAATGATGAGATTTTGCCCTTCTCTAGCCTCTTCCATCCGTGGTCCTCGAAGGGCTGTACAAACGCTTACCAATGAACATTTGCCTGCAGGGGTTCGTGGGCTTCTCTCACGACTATGGCTGGGCGTTGGCGCAGCCCTGGCTTTGTGGCAGGTTAGAGTGCGCAGCTGGCTCGCAGGTGGCAGGCACTGGGCCAGGCGTTTAGTCTTTTGAACTGATTCAGTGACCCCAAGGAGGTTGGGATCCTCTAAATGAACAGATTCCTTTTTACTCCTGCCTCCGTTTGACTCCAGGCGAAGGAGGAAGGACAATGTATTCCTTACCCAGGACAAGGTGAAGAAAGGAGAGATGTTTAGGACCTGGCTTAGGAGAATGCACAGCCTAATTGTTGCCTGCACTCAAATGCTGTTCCCTGGAATGAGGGTTGGGCCACAGGGGTGTTTCATCATCTGATTTAGACATGAGTGTTCTCGAAGTGTAGATGGGCCATGTCTAGTTGGGTTTCGTTTCCTTCCTAGGCTTTGGGGGAAGCGTGGCTTGCAGGGCTGTCCTTGTACAGCTGTCATTTCACTTTTTTCTTTTGATTGCTGCTTAATATTTCTTTTAACAATAACTCTTCTGATTAGGTTGTTGGGCATCACCCAGGTCTTGCAGCATCCTCACCTTATGATTAGTGAGTCAGAAAGATAGCTATGATGTAGCTTTAGAGTCACTGAGTGTGGACATGGGACTCTTCGCTTTCCCAGAGTTAGGTGACTAGCATATGCTTTGCAGTTACTCTGTGGCATTTTTCTTGTGCAAAAATAACTTCCCTAGCAAAGGTACTTTGCCTTAAGGCCACAAGTCATAATGACCTTTCTTCAACTCACTCCTAATTCTGACCCAAGTGGGATGCTCCCTGAAGCCATAAAGGCAGGAGACCTGAGGTCAGAGCTGCTCATCGTGAGAAAAATAGGGCATGAATCTACAGCTTCCTGCCCCCTCCAATCCCAGCCACTTTTGGGGTGCCCGTTGGATGGAGTCCCAGACCACAAGCTATGGGGGCCCCAGGCAATAGTGCAAGTCACTTGTGGAGTGGACAATTACAAGTCTCCAGCTGGTGTCTCCATGATCCGCTTTTGACCCTGGCTGTTCTTATGCAAATGGCCTTTTGCTCTCAAGGGAAGGGGTCACCTCATGATTTTCCATTTTCTTCCAGATGCCGTTATGTGGCCTGAAGGCGATGAAGCTCTTCCTGCTGACGCTCAGGATTTGATCACGAGGTTGCTAAGGCACTGCCCACTGGAACGCTTAGGCACCGGTATGCGCTTACTGTACCCTACTTTTACAGCTTACATCTGCCAGGCAGCACAGGGCATGGTCACCGGTGAGATGGCTGGAGTGGCTCCTGGCTGATTTGCATTTGTCTGTTCAATTGATGTCTGTCTCGCCTTTGAGATGGCTTTCTTAAGCAATTAGAAGTGTCCCTAGGATGTTTATAAGAGCTCTTCTTTAGTATCTGACTTGTGGGCTTTGCTCTCTCATGTGGTACTGCCCATCTCAGCCTTGAGCATAGCTTTTCTACAAACTGTATTCTGCCATTGGGGTAGAAACATTCCCCTCCACTCCAGATGTCCGCATCCCTGGAGAATCTGGGCAGTGCTGACTGCATGATGGCACCCTATATGGATAGGTACTTGATGGGATTAAAGCATGCTCCTGATGCCCCGTGGCCACCTGCAGTTGGAAACCTACAGCAGTGCTTAATAACCCATGGCTCCTGCTCCTGGCTCCTGCAGGTGTTGAAATGTTAGTGTCTCTGTCCTGAAGAGCCCTGGTTCTCTTTCTGGTTCCCACCTAGCTTTTTGCTTGCCTTTCATTTCACCTTCAGCCTCCTGCATTTGCCGGCTTAGCACGGTTGCTACCCCTCTGTTGGTATATACAGCCCAGGGCATAGCTATGGTTCTGTGCCACTGCCGTTTCCGGCTTTAGGGTCCTGCTGCCTCTTCCTGCTCTAGCCATTGCTCGTTGTTCTCTGCTTGGCTAATGAGAAAGCGCCAACAAACATTTTGGCAGTAGGCCAGATCCTATCTCTGTTCCTGCCACATAACTCTGTAAATGTCAAAAAATTACTCTGGATTTCTCTTTGTTGGTGTAACCAAGAGCAGAGTCTGTCCTGTTGTTGGAGACGTGCTGGGGAGGCCAAGGCCAGAATTTGGTCTTGTGAACTTTGTTGGGATTGGCTTTGGGAACCTAAATCCAGGCTGGTTCCAGTCTATTCAAGCCATCTGCACTGGGGGTCAGATAAAAATAAACTTGTTTCCAAAGTGAGAGCGCTTCCTGGGCTGAGGGGACAGCTCTGGGACCTGAAGTCATGCCTGCTCTAACCTACGTGATTCTGTGCTGGACACCAGGTGGCACCCATGAAGTGAAGCATCATTCCTTCTTCCACAACCTGGACTGGAATGGGCTGCTGCGGCAGAAGGCTGAATTCATTCCCCAGCTGGAGGCTGAGGATGATACCAGTTACTTTGACAGTAAGGCCAATTCTTGCTTCTCCTCTTTGATTCCCTTGTCCCAGCAGTGAGTCTGGGTAGAATTACCCAGAACAAAGAAACTTTCTCCAGGAAGCTGTGGGCAAATTTCTGACAGTGACTTTGCTGTAGAAAGGAATGATCAAGTCATTGCTGTGTGAAGTGAAATTCTCCTGGTCATTCCTCAGGTGGCCGTGCCTCCAGGTGCGCCAGCTCCTTCGATTTGCTCGTATAAGCCCTTTGCTGATGGTGCCCCTGGCTCAAGAACCTCCTTGATGCGCTACCTGCCAGGCACAGCGGGAGGGACTGGCAGATCAGACTGAGTGCAGAGGGCTGTGGCCGGAAGAGTTCACTTGTGGGATTTTGCATACAGACTCTGGTGCTGCAGATAAAACTAAAATCTGGCACCAGGGTGATAGTTCCTAACAAGCAGTGAAGGGGCTTGCTGGCTGCACCTTGCTTTGCTCCCCTCAACTGCTTTGGGAAGTGGAAAAGAAACATCCATGCAGGGAAACCCCAGCCCTCAGCGATGTGTCTCGAGGAAAGCTCCTGTTGCTCTGCCCTGCATGTCTGAAGGCATTGATTTCTTGTGTACCCACATAGCTGACCAATGGTGCATCAGGGGTTAAAGCTGGAGTTAAATGAGTGTGCAAGGCTGAGTGCACGGTAACCTGAGGCTCACTGGGGAGCTCTTTGGGGGTTGTAAAATGCATGGTTAATTCCCCCACTCCTGCAAGGCTGTGATACAGGTGACCTAATTACTTAGAAATTTGGTGTGTTTAAAGTTTGTTCTATTCACACGCTGAGAAACCTAGGACTTGCTGGACCAGATGAGACCCATGGTCCATCTACTCCAGGAGTCTGTCTGTCGTTGGTCAGAACCAGACACTTCACAGGAAGCTGCAAGAAACCTAATCCCTATTATCTAGAGACTGGCGTAAGCCCTGAAGCATGAGCTTTAAGATCCATTCCAAAACTTCCTAGCATTAGCAAAAGAAAATAACTTTCACTTCTGTGCCAGGGCTTCCCTGGGATTTAAACCTTGGCCCTCTGGCACGGTAAGCAAGAGGTCTACCCCTGTGCCATTTGGCCATCAGGGCCCCTCTGAACTGGTCCCCATGTGACAGTGATGGTATCCCTGCTTCAGCCTTTATTTCTGCGGTGAGGGGCTCTGGCAGACAGTAGGAGAGATGTTATTATTTTCTGTAAACAGTGAGTGTGGCCAAGTTGCTGGGATTGTAGCTCCCTGGAGGATTGACCCACTCTCATGGGAGGACCAGCCCTGGCTGCATTATCACTTCTTGCTTTCAGCTCGCTCTGAAAGGTACCGTCATTTGGGCTCCGAGGATGAGGAAACTAATGATGAGGAATCATCTGTGGAAATCGGCCAGTTCTCATCATGCTCTCACCGCTTCAGCAAGGTACTGGAAATGCCCCTGTGGAACCAAGTGGGCTTGGGGGTTTAGAGAGACCTTCCACCTCTGGTAGGGCCAAAGCCCCCAGCTGTCACTCTCTGCCAGAACACAAGTTTTACTAGTGACCGGAGAGGGGCTTTCTGAGCTCTCAGGCAAGGGAAAGCCCAGGGAGTCGGCTCACCTGCTGCAGGAGCACCATTGAAAGCTCTGCAGGGAATGCTCTGGGAAAGGCTGCTGGTGATTCACAGGGGGGGGTGCTCTTCCTTCCAAGTGAGCACTGACCCAGCACCCCAGCCTGGTACTAAGGAGGGAGATGTTGCTAGAGGTGCTGCCCTTCATGACAGCTCAGGTCTGGATCTTGACTTTTCTGGGATAAGGATCCCATGGCACCATGCCCCAGGGTAGGAGAATTAACCTGGAGTGTTCACCAAGATCCCATTTGGCTGGTTGCTTCCTAGAACGCTCCTGGATTTATTATTCTTCACTCTGTCCTGAATTGTTATGTGGAATTGCTGTGAGATGTGGTAGCTGTTTGACCTCAGAGGTGGCTGCATTTCATTGGTGGGTGGGTGATTCCTGTAAACATGTGGTCAGAGTCTCTGCTTCAGTAGTTCAAGTGACTTTGGTGGAGCCAGGCCGGCAGAGGCTGGCCTGTAATGTGTAAAGTTCCTGGCTGAACTCCACCTTCTGCTGGCTTCTAACATGTGGCCTCTTTGTTGCAGGTTTATAGCAGCTCTGAGTACCTGGCAGCTCACTCCAACTTGAGCCTCTCATCCTCTGAGCGCAGTCAGAGTGAGGACAAAGAGGACAGAACAGAGCGGTGGGACAGGAGCTCAGGAGACGAAGAGAAGAGCCGGCTGTCGGGCACAGAGACCAGGTGAGCTGGGTGGGACGATGCTGCAGAGACCTGGCTGAACCTCCACTGGTGCATGCTCTCCAGATCTCCCTCCGTGGAGCATGAGCCTCCTGTGCCTCTAGGGCAGTGGTTCTCAAATGTTTGTACTGGTGATCCCTTTCACACAGCAAGCCTGAGTGCGACCCTCCCCCCCCCATAAATTAAAAACACTTTTTAATATAGTTAACACCATTATAAATGCTGGAGGCAAAGCAGGGTTTGGGGTGGAGGCTGACAGCTCGTGACCCCCCAGGTAATAACCTCACGACCCCCTGAGGGGTCCCGACCCCCAGTTTGAGAACACTCGCTCTAGGGGAAAGCGGACTCCCGAAGGCAGCAGGGATGAGCGAAGTGTGTGGACCCTCACACCATTGTTATGGCTTGGCAGCTCAGCCAGCCCTGGGCACTGGGATTTGCTCCCAGCAGTCGCCTGACAGAGGGTGGGGGAGTCCCCTTGCTGAGGGGGTGGCAGGAGATCCAGCAGTGGGTGAGTCCTGCTCCTAGAAGACTGGTTTGGAACCCCAATGAGATGGTGAAGTCCCCATAGCAGGGTCCTTGGCTGCTAGCAGTCCAGTTAGCCCTGAAGTTGGAGAAGTGGCCCAAGGGGACCCTATGGTATGGTCCTGGTGCTGTGTCTGTCCCCAGCCTCGGTCACTCTCTCAGACCATCTCTTTCCTCTCAATAGGCTCCGATCGTGGACGTCCTGTGGCTCAACGGCCTACTCCTCCCGGCATGAGCGAAGCTGCAGCCCTGCCACCCTCACTAGCACCTTCAGCCTGGAGACCATGCCGAAGTTTGCTTTCTCCTCCGAAGAGGAGAGCCCCTGCCCAGGCTCTGTAAAGGCTGAGAGACCAATGTTTGTGCTGGGGGACCCTGAAGCAGGGGCAGGAGGAGCGGCAAAGTCCTCAGCGTTATCAGGTACATGGGCTGTGGATGGCGGAGCTGGGTATTAAGGATACCGCAAGTGTCACCTTTTGCCATTTGGCAAAGCTCTGTGCTAAGTGTGGGACACAGCGTTGTGTCTGGCCTTCTGCTGGGGAAGCAGCCTGTATACATTGTGCAGGGCATTTACGCTGGATTGGTTGGTAGAGGCCCAGGCCATTGGGAAGCCTCCAGGTAATTCTAGCTCTAGGGTTCCCTGTTACTCCCCAAGGTTCCAGGGCAGGTGAAAGACCCTCTGTATTTATGCCCTGTTGGCACGGCATGCAGACTCTACGCTCTTCTGTCTCCCCCATCATTTCCCTGATGAGTACAGTTGGAGACCTCCGGAGCAGGTGTGTTACGCTCTGAACATCCTGCACTGTGCAGAATGGCTGGGTGTTCAAGCTTGCATCACTTGGTGGTAGGGGGCTCATCACGTGCCTCAAGGGGACGGTGATAGCTTCCCCGGTGTGTGCTGCTCGTCTCTCCTTTACCCCTTTGGGGGGGTGGCGGCAGCGTGTGTGGTCTGTGAGGGTGCTGAGGGTGCTACACCCATGCCCCACATGTGCCCTTGAATAGGCACTGACAGGCTAGGGAGGGAGCAATTGCTGGAAGAGGGAGCCAAATGGGGGATGGGGCTTCTGGGGAGACAGCCATGTGTGGGAGTAACCACTGGGAACAAGATGGCCCTAGCTGGGCATTTGCTTAGTAGCAGAGTCTAAACCTTGCCAGTTCCTGTGGAAGGAGGTTACCTATGAGCAGGGGGAAGTGACAGTAAGGGCAGTGGCTCTTAGACTTGATACTGTTCCAGTGAATGATTCAGGATCATCCCCAGCTGGCCAGCAGCAGAATGGCTCTGCAGTGGCATTATTGTGCCTAAGAAGTACCCGCTTGCTGACCCCCTTCCTCCCTCTTTGTCCAGCTGATATTGTCAGTCTGAACCGCGTCCGCCTGCGGAGCAACAGCACTGGCACCAAGAACTCCGCCCCGAGAGCCCTGGAGCCTGGGGTGGGCCGCAGGCTGGGGAGTCCGAAGAACGCTCCAGAGAAGCAGAGAGTGTCTTCAGGAAGCAGAGTGCCGAAATCTGCTTCTGTCTCAGCCCTGTCCCTGATTATCACCTCAGGTCAGTGGGAAGCAGCTAGTGAATCTGATGCCCAGCGTTAGCTGTGTAATTAGCAAATGCATGTTTCAGACTGGAACATCTCCACCGTGCACTCCTGCACCTTGGCCCCAGCTGCCCTGCCCCACGATGGCAGCCCTTTGTAGCTTTTATTGTCTCTGTTACACTTTCAACAGCTTGAGCGTTACCAAGAAGGCTTCCCAGGCAGTTCCTGCTCAGTTAAGCCCTCTTGGGTTCCTCTGTGCCCCTCAGCAGTGGGACCCATGTAAATGATAACACTGAACAAGAGCCAGAAAATGGAACCAGCTTTTGATGAGAGGGAAGCTGGCAAATCTTCAGAGTAGCAAAGGGAGACAAACTGTACAGACAGTGGTAAGGAAGTGAGATTTTTAGGCTCCTTTGTGGAGCGGACTGAGGTGCTCCTCACTCGGACAAAGAAGTTTCTGCATATGGTTGTCTGCCAGGCCAAGTCCTGTTAATAACAGCAGAGTTTGGCAGCCCCATTACTCTTTGGTGTGAGGGGACTGACTCCCCGCTGCGCAGTGCTGGCAGGCACGTGGGATCCAAGGGGAAACGGACACTGTCTGTTGTTTGTAGATGACTCTGGCAGCGGAGCCCTCATGAGCCCCATCTCCCCACACTCTCTCTCTTCCAACCCATCCTCTCGGGACTCGTCCCCGAGCCGGGATTCCTCCCTCAGCATCACCAGCCTGCGTCCGCCCATCATCATCCACAGCTCTGGAAAGAAATATGGCTTCACCCTGCGCGCCATTCGTGTGTATATGGGGGACAGCGATGTGTACACAGTGCATCACATGGTGTGGGTAAGTGACTGACTGGCTGGGGAGTCTGCACATGAAGGGAGCAGTGTTGTGCTGCGTAAGGCACGGTGCTCTGCATGCTGAGCATCAGTGGTGTAAAGGGACCAATGTTCTCTGAAGAGGAGAGGGAGGTGGCGCCAACTGGCAATGAAGCCTAAAAGCTGTGTGAATAATCCTGAGGATCTGCTTAAGTAATGTTTCCTGGTTCTTCAATTCCAGAGCGTGGAAGATGGGAGCCCTGCCCAGGAAGCTGGGCTGAGAGCTGGGGATCTCATCACACACGTGAATGGAGAGTCTGTGCTAGGGTTAGTTCACATGGATGTTGTGGAGCTGCTGCTGAAGGTAAACAGCTTGCTCTGGTTGTAAATGTGCCACCGGGTGCTTTGCTCTTTGTGGAGCTCCTTCTAACACTTTGCTCCCTCTGCACATGCCTCCTGAGCCCCCGGGAGCGAGCTGCTGTTCAAGACTTTGAGCAGCAAACTTTTTGTTTAATTATCTGAGAGAGAGAGGGAATTCACAAATCAGCAGGAGTCCAGCGATAACCCCTCTCTGTTGTGGCTTGGCTTTGCCCTACGACAGTGTGGCTCTGACTCACATGCTGTGTCTGCTCCCCTGAAGCAGAGTTCTCAAACATGGGATGTACAGAGCGGGCCAGTCACTGGGGCCTGGCTGCTCCTCCTTGCTTCCCACTGCCAAATTCTATTAAAAGATGCTGAAAATCCAGCAGAATGTAGTCTCCCATGTAAGCTATGGTTGGAATTGGCTTAAGGATTTTATGAGATCCCAAATGGGAGGGGAGGTGGGTGGGGCTGCATGATTGCGAAGGGGTGGCCCCTCTGGTCGCTTGCTGTTCCCCACAGGTGTCGGGGCCTCATGACTTTGCCTATCCCAGGGTGTAATTTCACATTTTTCTCATTCTTAGACTTGGCCCGGGCTCTAGTATCCTGTGTACGGACCATGCTTAGCCAGTAGGTCCAGTAGAATTCAGACACCCGGGTTCTTTCCTTCAGGACTGTGTGACCAAACAGCCTTCTTAAACCTATTGCTTATTTTAACAGTAGGAACAAAGCTTCTTCAGAAAAGAGGATTTTAATTCAACAAACAGTATCCATGCATGTCTGTGGCTTACCAGCCCAACAGTACTGTAGGCAGGACTAGCTTCTTCAGACACACCCAACAGGTGTCTGAAGTCTGGTTCCCCAGAATAACTACTCTTCTCTTCGGAGTGTGTCCCTTTTAAACTTCTGTAGTCCTTTTGTTGTTCTGTGTTCTTGGGCTTTGACCCTTCTGGACAAAACCAGTCCTGTAAGCTCAGCAGGATATTGAGCCTGAGTCCTCAGAGCCAATGGAACCATAATAGCCCGCAAGTGTTGGCTGAGGGGAGGCTTATCTTGAGCCATTTTTTCCACTTCCTGCTTCTTTTTCCTTGCAGCCCCCTGTTAAACTAGACCAATATGTGTATACAGTAATATCCAAGTGACCAGGTCAGCATACAGCATTAATACATTATTGCAGAACAGCTGCATATCCAACACAGTGCCATCTAGAAACGCTGTGAAGAAGTTTGAGAACCCCCTTGCCCTAGAGACCACATGGCGGAAGTGCAGTTCTCCCTGTGGATGCTGGCAGCCCAAAATGTCTGTCTCTTCAAAAGGCAATTCTCCTGGGGTGGTTGGGACCTTTGTGTTCCACAGACTGGGCCCTGAGGAGAGGGGGGGTCCGCTCCCTTATAGTCCTGACTCCTCACTCAGTGACAGTGAGACAAGCATATGTACGTACAGTGGCCCGCAGACAGTCTATTCTTAATGAGGTTTACACCCTTCCTCAGTAGGGTTAATTACGGGGGGACCCTCAGGGCAGTGGTGCATTCCATAGGCTGAGCTGGAGACTCAAGCTTCAGTGTGAGAGCGCCACTGGACTGGAAGCTCAGCCTCCTTACTACCATATGCCATGAGTGAGGCATGATCTAGCAGTCTGAGCAGTGGACTGGGAGCCAAGACTACCTGAGTCCTGATCCCAACTCTGACAGTGACTCCTGCTGTCGGCTTGGTGGACCAGGTCACTTATTCCGCGGGAGGTCAGGCAAGATGATTCTGATGGGCCCTTCTGGCCTTAGAATCTGCTGTAAACAGGCTCATGCCGTATGCGTCACAACAACTCGCTTGGTGCATTTCACAGAGTGGCAACAAAGTAGCGCTGCGAACCACTGCCCTGGAGAACACATCCATCAAAATTGGTCCTGCTCGGAAAAACAGTTCCAAGACCAGGATGGCCAGAAGGAGTAAGAAAAGCAGGAAAAGGGACAGTCAGGACCGGTGAGTAGAAATAGACTGGGAACAGGATGACTTCTGTTACTGGGCATCTCTGTGTAGTTCTGAAGAGAAGCTGGCGTGTGAGCCCTGAAGTATCTTGGGGAGCTTTGAGTTTATTCACCTAAGATAGGGAAGGAAAACGTCTAAATGCTGCCTCCACCAGGGAGAAGCTCTCCTAACTAGCGAATGCTACTTAGTGTTAGCCAAAGAGACCAGTGCCTTCTGTACTTACTCTTGGGCCAGCATCCTCTTGCTTCACACAAACAGAAGGGGTGAGAATTTACTCAGCTTCTTGAAGCCACAATGCCTGGTAGTGCCATGTTATAGCATGCCCTGGGGAACACAGGTTGAAGGCTCAGTGAAACAGGCTGTGGATATCAAGGGCAAAGAATAGAGATTTTTCCTTTAAAAATTCCGTGGATGTTAATGGCTGCAGTAGCTTTTAATGGTAAGGTTCCTGTATGTGCTTGTTGGCAGATCTGGCTCTTTGCAGCTTGCTATAGAATATTTTTATAAGGCATCTTTTGTCTGAAATGGTGATGCAGTAAATTCCTTTCCCCATTGTTCGTAGCATGCAGAATCCTGAAGTGTTGAGTTCTTGGCTGAAAACTCAGCCTGGAGTTGTAGACCTCCCTAGAAGACAGACTTGGGAGAAATCTTGTTTTTTAATGCCCAAGGGGAATACAAAGAGGTTTTGTGAAGTTTGTTTCTAATGGGCCCTTCCATGTAAATCCTGCCCCTGGGGCTTTTTTCATCTCAAAGGAGAAAGTGCCTTTTCAAAAAGATCTCCAAGCAAACGACTGTACTGCACACCAGCCGGAGCTTCTCATCTGGCCTCCATCACTCCCTGTCATCAAGCGAGAGCCTTCCAGGATCTCCCACACACAGTCTGTCACCTGGACCTACAACTCCCTGCCGCAGCCCTGCTCCAGACCTCCCACTAGGTAGGGGTTAGTTCTGATCACTCACCCAACTACGGCTTCTGCTACTTGTGAGATGGCTTGCCCTGTGCTCTGTCCATTCCATGGGTGGTGTATGTGGCTGTAGAGCGTGTGCTCTCAGGCTGTTCCTGCAACAGGATCAAGGCTGGGAATGCGACTGTGTCTCCAGGGTTCACTCGGGGGGTTGTGGACACTCTAAGCCTGCTCCACTCAAAGGAGAACACTATGCTAACTTGTACAGATGGGTATCTCTGTCACTCCTGCGTTTATGGCAACAGTGCTTTGTGCCAAAGGGCTTGTCTGCCCCAACTGCTAACTTGCCTTTCAAAAGGTATTTTGACATGTTGAGGATCATAGTGGCTCTTGGGAATAATCTTCCAGAGTAAATGAACATTTCCCTGTAAATTCACAGTATGGGGCAAGGACGGAGAAACGCAGTGTATAAAAACACAGGGTAGAATGACAAGAGGGAGCACTAGGTCAGCTGCAGTTGCAGCTGGGTTCGTATGCAGTGATTGGAACCTGTGGGTCCCCCTGTAACTTGCAGTGCTGCTCAGAGTAAAGTAGCCAGGTTCCAAACCATTCAGGAAGTGCCTTGATTTGGCAGACATCTCATTCAGGCCCACCATATGTAAGACTGATGCTGGAAATGCTGACCTTGTCCGAGCCCTGTGATGTGTAGGGAATGTGAGCATAGTATTCATCTCGGGTGAGTTGATCTCTCTCTCTCTCTCTGGCAGATTCTGTCTCCCCACAGAGCACCTCCCCATCCTCTAGCACCCCCACCTCTCCTGCAGGACACATCAGACCGAGCTCTCTTCATGGGCTAGTGCCAAAGCTCAGTGGTCAGCGTTACAAGGTGGGGCGCCGCAAGTCCACCAGCAGCATCCCCCCATCTCCCCTTGCATGTACTCCTTCTTCAGTCCCACAGCCACCTTCTCCTCAGAGGTCCCCATCGCCACTACCAAGTTACACCAAAAACATTCATTCCTTCCAGGGCAAGACCCTGTCTCCCCCCACCATTGTCAGGCAAGTGTCTCGGCCCAGGAGTGCCGAAGGCCCCAGGTCCCCTCTGCTAAAACGAGTCCAGTCTGCTGAGAAAATAGCTACCTACCTAGCAGAAAAGAAAACCATCAGCAGTCGGAAGCTCACACTGGAAATGCCTCCAGGAGACGGGATGGGGGAGTCTCTCGGGGAGCGGGAGACTCCTATCCAGGCGGGAGAGCTCTGTGCTATGGCTTACCCAGGGACCCCCCGAATGAGAGACTGGACAGGGGAAAGGCACGACCGCGACCAGGAGGTTGTTGTCATGAGGAGGCTGAACCTGTCAGAGCGCAGGGACTCCTTTAAAAAGCAAGAAGCTGTCCAAGAAGTGAGTTTCGATGAGCCAGAGCTGGTGCCTGTGAGTGAGGATGGCACGAAAACAGAGGCCAAGCTGGACAAGGAGCATGCGCCATGGAGACTTTCCCCTCATGCAGCTTCCTGGGTGGAGACCAGACCAAGTTCAGTATTTGGTAGCTCTTCAGAGCCCCCAAACCCAGAGCAGATGCCTACTGTGGTGCCCCAGATAGCAGTTCAAGGGTCAGAGAGCGATGAACAGGAGACTAACACAGCTGAGTGGGAATGCCAAGGGTCCTACCCTATCCAGTTGATGGCCAGGGTTTATACTGAACAAATGGATGGAACTACAGCAGTGGAATACAAGAGTGTCTCCTCCCAGTGTAGAGAGAACCGGGGGCAGAGAGAGCTCTGTGCGGGGCAAGAGCCCTCACCAGCTTCTGGGTCCCCGCATAGGACATGTTGTGGTAAGGGCATGGTGGGCACACCCCAGCTGAGCAAAGCGCCTCCAAGGCTGAAGCTGTGGGGGAGCACAGGAATGCAGGAGCATGAGTGCACAGAAACTGAGACGCCCAGCGCAAATCAACAAAAGATGCATGATCAAGCTCGTAAAAAAGTCAAGGATGAGTAATAGCCACACGTTTAGCAAAAGGAACTGCTAAAGGTGAACAGTCAACACAGTGACAGGGCATCTTCAACTCTGCATGAACTCCACAAGGGATCAGCTTCCAGAAAAAGCAAATCTGCACTGGAGACTGGCACACCATCCAGCTGCTGAGATGTGCTCTTCAAATTACATACCTGCGTTTTGTGAGAGTAAATGCACCTGAAACATTTTTAACATCAGACCTGGCAGGGGTGGGGAATAATTTGATGAATTTACTTACAAAAGGTTTTTGTACTAACTGGAAAGATGTTAATATTTTTGTAGAGCTAAGGAAGCTGCTCTGTTGTGATGGCGTTTCCTCAGCAGGACCTAAACCGTTGTAAATAGAAAGGACTAGACGTGAATCCTTCTAACTAATTTATTACCTTTATAAGCTAAGAAGAGGCATCTGAGGGCATCTCAACTGACTTTTGTGCTAGGGGAAGCATTACCGCTATTTTGTAAATGTTTATAATCCCACCTCTGAAATGCACTATATGTTCTATCATTTCTAAGAACCATTAGTTTTGCCCCTTTTGTTATTGTCAGTTTCAAGAGGCAAGGCACAAAGAAAACAGTTAAGAGCCAAGCTTTAAAATACCGTTTTTGGTAGGGATATGCACAGCAGGGTATGTCTTGGTGCCTTGATCTTCATACAGGTGTCTTATTCTTCCTGGAAGAGCTGGTCTTCATTGAAGGTAAAAGCAGTAACTTTATAATGATGTGATTCGTGTTCTGGAACAGACCAATGGTCCATCTAGTCCAGTACCCTACTCTTGCCAATGCCAGATGTCTCAGAATTAGGCATAAATTTCCCTCTCCCCAATATGTTTGTTTGGGAAGAATTTTTGCTTTGGTGTTTTATGATGCTCCTGGGCAGGGGACACGCGTGTGATTGATGCCCACCAGGAATGTATAAATCAAGTATTACAAATCCCAGACAAACCTTGTTGAACAGTTTCCATATCCTGGCCTTGTGCTGTCACTGGCATTGAACATTTCTCCCCCAGAATGTTGTGTATACATCTCAAACACCAGCTCCTCTTTAGTGTGTGCGCTGAATCATTACTCTTCCACTACTTCTTCTTTGACATGTTGACTTGGCCAATTCTAGGACACAGTGGTACTGATAAAGGGCAGCAAGGTCTCTGTGCGCATTTGCCAAGATGGGACTGATTTTGAGATTGAGAGTGAGAACTCCCTTGCTTGTGTGTGGCCAGTTCCCATCTATGTTAATTGATGCTGCATATAAGCCATGGTGTTTGGGGTGGAAAATGAATGTTTTAGTAACCTACAGAAGTTTCCTCCAGTTCTTTCCATGTTGCGGTTATCTTTCTTGGGTGATAACAGATTCAGAGCCTTCCAGTGTCGCTGCTAGCTCAGCCAGAGGGGTTTCTGCAGAGTGAGGTGAGCTGCTCCCTCCTAGGTGCTAATTGTGTTTCCTCCCCACAGAGCAAGAGACTCTGCTGAGAATCTTACCATGCCTGCCTCATGGAAATGAGAAAAGGAGGATTTGTGGCACCTTAGAGACTAACAAATTTATTTGAGCATAAGCTTTCATGAGCTACAGCTCTCTTCATCGGATGCATTCAGTGGATCCGATGAAGTGAGCTGTAGCTCATGAAAGCTTATGCTCAAATAAATTTGTTAGTCTCTAAGGTGCCACAAGTCCTCCTTTTCTTTTTGCAGATACAGACTAACACGGCTGCTACTCTGAAACCTGTCATGGTAATGAGCATCACCAGGCTGGCTCATCAGGAGTGATTTAATCATGTTAGTCTTAGTTGCAAGAGATGGCGCTTGGGGATCTCCTGGCATTTGGTGATTGATCAAAATTGCTATTTAGCAGCTGAGGAAATTGAGGGATTTTCACTTGAGGTGCTGCTGGCAAGGGGGGATGCACCAAGGGATTAGACTCCTTTAAATCATGTGACAGAGATATGTGATGTATTGGGCTAGAATATGTCTTAGTGTGTCAGTTTATAAGACACTCCAGGATTCCATCTGTTGGAATCAGAAGATGACACCTAAGAAGCAGTTTGACAACAGCTAAAGAACCACAAAGCTGGGATTAGTCTATGAGCAATATCTATCCTCCTCTTGTCGCATTGTTAGATCCTGTGTTCCCTGTCTTCATGCACCTTCTAGTTCAAATCAGAGGACTAGATGTGATGGGCAAGGAAAGTCTGGACTGGCTGATGTCCCTCTGTGCTTTCTACCTTTCCTTGAATCTGCAGCATGTGAGGACTGTCATTGTTCAGCTCAAGGCCCTGTTGTAAAGGGTGAGCCTACAAACCCTGCCCACTGGCTTTACATGCTGAATAAGCAGCCAAGTGCAGGTTACCTCTTGGCACCAGATATCTAACCTTGTTTAACTGTTCCTGTTTTCCAGCTGCTCTTGGCTAGCCTGGTCCCATTCATATTGTGCTCCCATGTTAAAGGGAGACAAGAAAGGCTATAAATTTGACTTGACAAGAAGCACCTTCTTAAGATCTTTACTATGAGTAGAACCAGGAATGGAGGGAACATTAAGAGATTTCTTTAGAGGAACTTGCCGATTTTTTCCATTTAAAAAAAAGACTTGAACATCTCTCCTCCCAATCCCTCATTCAAACCTCGTCACCAACAAAGATGATGTAATTATTTAATGTGTTCTCTACCCCAGGTATGTCCTTTTCCTCTCTCCCATATAACCGTGCTCTCCATGGCAGCTCCTAGGAGTAGGGTAGGGCAGTACCACCTGCCAGCCTAGCTTTTCCAAACTGAAGCTCTCCTAACTCATTTGGAAAGTGTATATTCTTTAATAAACAAAACACAAATAGAATGTATCACTGGCTGTTTCTATTGTGTCAGCCTTGTTCAGGGGCTAGAACAGGAACTCAGCCCTCAAACAGAAAATACTAGTTGGGGTTTTGCATGTTATGCTGGGTTTCTAGTGTGGGGTTCTTTTTATGACATCTGGGCAGATTATGTGAGCTTTCAAGGACTCAGTGATGCTCCGCTGGCACTTGTGCATTCCTGCCACATTAACAGCATCTCAACATTTGAATATTTATAACTTCCAATATTAAACTTTTTAAAGGAAAAGAAAAAGTAGAATTCTCGTGGTCTGACTTCCAAAGACTGTTTGAGCTTGGGCACACTTTTAAATGTCCATGCGATGGTCAATTTGTACTTTTAGACATATAGGCAAAACCTAGATAGTTGTAGAGGTTTGTAAGAGTTTGTGTGAACACCCCATCTTGTATCTCATGCATGAGAACTACAGCACTGTACTGCCTATGCCTATCCTCTGAAAGTATTTGTTTTTTCAGGCTTTGTGTGAGCAATAGGATTGCCAATGAAGATGTAATAAGTAGGCAAGCTAGGGGTTTGATAGATCTGTCAGACCTCAAAGCTCATTCAGGGACCTGTGTGTCTGAACCAAATGAAAATTAGCTGAAGGGTTACTAATTACTTGTGACTATTTAGAATGGGGGTGGGGGGAGAGAGAGGAACTTGTTTTCAGTCCGCTTGTTTTAGACAAGATTGAATTTTATAATCGTATAGAGGGTTTTTGTTTCTGTTTAATGCTTTTTTTTCCTTGTAGAGAGAGATTTAAATACTTCCGAGCCAAAATAAATTAATCAGTTTGATCTTCTTTTCTGAGATGTTCCACATGAGACAGAGTTGGTTAGGAAAAGCACAACTGGAATTTATCCATCTGTTTCCCTCCTTCCCTGGGCCAGGTTTCAGAATATTCATGCAAATATTAAGAGTTTTTGTTTATTTTCAGTGATTTGCAGTTTCTCTGCTGTATTCTGCATAAAGCTAATTTCTAAAACCTTCCCCAGGATGTGCTTTCAGAACATACAGACATTCCACAGAGGCTTCTGAGTGAACGGAGCATTTAATTAGAGCTCTACCTTTTTATTAAAAATGTAATAAACTACACTGTGTTGTCTCAGTTGTCTTTAGTTGTAATTTCTGAATTCCCTTTCCCACTTGTGCTGGTGGATTTTGTATGAAGAGTCCCTCTGGCATTTTCCAGCATTTCTAAGGTTTTATATGATGTAAATGTTTACATTTGATAATGCATGTGTGTTTTTTCTAACTGCAGTGTTTGCAGAAACTGACACAGTGCAAGTATTGGGCTTTTATGTCAAAACACTTATTTATATCCTTCCCTGTACAGTTTGTATGGCAATGATACCTAACCATGTGTGCAAAGCTGTCAGAATGGTATTTTTTTATTATTATTTGTATAATGCTAATGTCTATGCCATTTTGTAGCACCAATCCCACCGTAAAGTGATTCCTTTTCCCACCCCAGACTTGAGAGTAACTGGTGATGCTAGCTTTCTATTTTGATTGCTTATTTAAGCAGAATTTGGTTTTTTTACGTTTGTGTGGCTGTTTTAAATTGACTGCTTCTCCTGTGTTAATCCTTGTAGTAGTTTACCCAGAAAACAAGCAAACAATCATGTTGGTGGCCAAGAGCATGTATTAATTCCACATCATCAGCCTGTGGAGGCACAGAAGCACTTTCTGGTCTTGGGGTTTAGTGAACAAAATGGTTCTTTGCTAGAAGATGATGTAGAATGAAGTATTTTTGCTTCTGAAATGATGTTGCCAACAATTACTCTCTGTTGTAATCCTGTTTCTGCGGAATCACTTGTTGTTTCCTTTTTATTTTATTTTTTTTATTTTTTATTTTTTTTGCATCTCTCTTATTTAGGATAGGCTTTCTGCTTGCTTCCTCTGCCTTCTCTATTAACCACTCAGGAAGTTAGCATTGTTGTTTTTGAAAAAACCTAAAAATGGACATCTCCTTTACACTGACCAGCTGTAAAAGGGGATCAACAGGACAGTGGCTGAACTAGTATTTAAGAATAAAACTCTTCTTTCAGAAGTTGTATTAAAAGGATTTTTATGGAAAATGTCTTAAAAGTAAACAGGACTCTGTCTTCCTGTATTATACTGAACACTGGTCTTGGTATGAATCTATTCAGAAAAAGTTTCATGTTGTAATAAAATTGTTCCTTGAGATGGAGCTGAAGTTCATAGCCTTCTGTTCAAGGGGGGAGTACTTAGTTCAGAACTGCTGATACTGAAGCTTGGAAAGAACATTTTGGAAATAAATTTCTTATTACTCCTGCATGTTCACTACCCAATCTTCCTGATGTGTAACACGAAGTAAATGGCATGCAGTGTAACAACTGCTTCAGTTCCTTCCAGATTTTGCAATTCCATGCCTGTGACTACACTGTCAGTTTGTTCCTTGGTGTGAAGATCTTGTTGAACGGCAGTTCACATCCCAGCTTCATCCAGTAGATTCTAGAGTAAAATCCTGAAATTAGCTGAAGCACTAGCTGATGCTGTCAACTCAGCCAGCAGGCTCAAGACCAGGATTGCATCTGTGGCCATTGACAACTGGTCTAATCAAGTAAAAGGATGCACAAGAGTGACCAGCCCAAGGAGCTAAAGTATAGTACCTGGCACCACCAAATATTTCTCATTCACGACCTCCTTCCCTTCCTTTGCTCTGCCTGTGACAAGTTCACTGCAATCCATGATCTACATCAGTGATGCGCAAACTTTTCCAGTCATGCCCCCTTTACCATTGGTCACCCTCCCTCCCCCACATCACTTGTAGTCTGAAGTAATCCTGCTGGCGCCCGTGCTGCCTTCAGGACTGGGCGGCTGGAGAGTGGCTGCTGCCAGCCAGGGCATTCATATTGTTTGCGGTATGGGAGAACTATTTTTTTTTTTTTTAATCCCTCTCCTGTCCTGCTCTGCAATACCCACTCTTTTTATCCCACTCCCGCTATTATGGCAGTGGGTCCTGTGGGATGCGTGGGATGCATGGGATTCCAGTTTCTGTGCGCCTCCAACCTCTTGTGCATGCCTCCCCAGTTTGTGCCCCATTGACCTCCATCTCACTTCTTTTGTCTCCTCACGCTTTCTGAAAGCCAGTTCTCTGCCTCCAACCGCAGACTCTTTGCTCCCCTCAGCATCACTGCTGTCCAGCTTCTTTCATTTCCAGCTATTGTCCTGTGGCATCTTCTACAACCCAATCAACCTGCCTCACTCTTTTGTCCTCCTCCTCTGGGTGGCTGCCATATCCCCCACCCCATCCTCCAACATCTCTGATGTGATGTCTTTCCCTTTACTCTGCTGAACTGCATGAGGCCTCCCAATCATGGCCTGGACTGACTAACAATCTTGGTGACTCACTTGATGTGGTCTTCAAGCACTGCATGCTCTCTCTTTCCCATCTCCTCCCCTTTCATTTCTGTTCCCTTATTTATTTGTAGTGTCGTAGTGCCTAGAGGCCCCACTCGGGGATCATGGCACAAGGTGCTGCGCAAACAGGAAGATGGTCCCTGTCCAAAGAGTTTAATCCCTTTCTCCACTCTCTGATTTCTTTCAAAATTGGGCACACTCTTCCACTTCCTCTTGCACAGTTCTGTGACCTCAAGCCTACTGAACTCCACACCACTGACCCTGTCACTTCCATCCTCTCCTGCCTTGTTCAGAGGACCTGCGCTACTCCAGCCTTCTTCGGTGTGTGAGA